ATTAGAGGGTGTATTCATTACCTATTGCTTCATAACAAATACTAAAATGTAATGGCGTAAAACAACACACATTTACTATCTCAGTCTCTGTACATCAGAAATGTGGGTACAACTTAGCAGGGTCCTCTGGCTCTGGATCTCTCACAGGTGATAATAAAGCTGTTGGCCAGGGCTAACGTCATTTTGAGGCTCCTCTAGAGCATGGATCTGCTTCCAAGCTCATTCACATGATTGTTGGCAGTCTAACCTTCCTCACAGGCTATTGGACTGAGGGCCACAATTCCTTAAGAGCTGTTGGCCTAACCCTTCCTTAGTTCATTGTCAGGTGGGCCTCTCCATAGAGCAACTTACAGCATGGCAGTTGGCTTCATCAGAGCAAGCAAGCAAGAGGACAAGAGAATGTGGGCAAGACAGAAGTCACGGTCTCGTAAGCTAATCTCCAGAATTACACACCATCACTTCCGCAGTTACAGATGAGTCACTAGATCCAGCCCATACATGGATGGGATTATACCAGGGCCTGAATATCAGGAGGCAAGGACCACTGAGAGGCATTTCACAAGTTGCCCCCTACAAAGGGCTAGCTAACACAGTGGCTATGTACATCAAAATTCAAAAATATTTTTACAAGTTTGTAGCAAAGGAGCTGAAACAAGGTGAAATTTGAGACCAGTTAATGTTAACTCCTTCATTCAAAAATGAGTAAGCGCAAAATTAGTGTGAATTTAGTTGTGACTATGTGAAAAAAGATGTAAACATTTTAGTTGTTGTTTGCAACAGGGTAAAAAGCCCTAAATGGAAGGTTAGGCTACATTAATTAGGAGTAGATAGTATTCAGAACAAAGCCATACTCCCCCTGTTTATCCTGGAGTGTTCACAGTAAGCAGAACACTGGAATGTCTGCGGAATTGGATAACCAGAATGGAAAGGAGCCTGGAAATTGTGTCATAGAGACACAGCCTTCAAAGGCTTTTCTGGCAAAACTGCTAAAAGAATTTTGAGACCAGGTGTGGTGGCTCGTGCCTATAATCCCAGCACCTTGGGAGGCCAAGGCAGGCGGATTGCTTGAGCTCAGGAATTCGAGACCAGCCTGGGCAACGTGTTAAAACCCTGTCTCTACAAAAAGTATGAAAACTAGCAGTTGGGCATGATGGCACACACCTGTAGTCCCAGTTACTTGGGGAGCTGAAGTCGGAGAATCCCCTCAGCCTGGGAAATCAATGCTACAGTGAGCCATGATTGCACCACTGTACTCTAGCCTGGGTAACAGAACAAGACCCTTCCTAAAAAAAGAAGAATTTTGAAAAACATATGTATCCCTTCACATATTTTTAGGTTGATATATAAAAACTTTTATTGTGAGAATATAATTCTTAGTATCTTGAATATTCTTTTTTTTCTACTTCTGAAAACAGACTTTTAGACTTATCAAAAAACTTTAAGTTTTATTTTCTTTGATTTTCTTTGTATTCTGCTTTTATTTTTTTAAATATATATTTTATTGCACTTTAGGTTCTGGGATACATGTGCAAAACATGCAGGATTGTTGCATAGGTGCATACATGGCAATGTGGTTTGCTGCCTCCATCCCCCGTCACCTATATCTGGCATTTCTCCCCATGTTATCCCTCCCCAACCTCCCTACCCCACACTGTCCCTCCCCTATTCCCCCCAATATACCCCAGTATGTGATGCTTCCCTCCCTGTGTCCATGTGTTCTCATTGTTCAACACCTGCCTATAAGTGAGAACATGCAGTGTTTGTTTTTCTGTTCTTGTGTCAGTTTGCTAAGAATGATGGTTTCCATATTCATCCATGACCCTACAAAGGGAATATTCTTTTAAATATGTTCTCTTTTTGAAACAGAGTCTCACTCTGTCGCCCAGGCTGGAGTACAGTGGCACAATCTCAGCTCACTGCAACCTCTGCCTCCGGGGTTCAAGTGATTCCCCTGCCTCAGCCTTCCAAGTAGCTAGGGCTACAGGCGTGTGCCACCATGCCTGGCTAATTTTTGCATTATTTAGTAGAGATGGGGTTTTACCAAGTTGGCCAGGCTGGTCTTGAACTCCTGACCTTGTGATACGCCTGCCTCTGCCTCCTAAAGTGCTGGAATTGCAGGCGTGAGCCACCACGCCCAGCCTTAAATATATTTTCTGCACAACTGTAGAATTGCCTGTTTATCTCATTCACTGTATTGAAAATGTCTGCTATGTGACCCACATGGCAATACTAGTCCTCATTGTCAAATCACTCAGGCAAATCAGACTCGTTTTCTATCAGGGAAAAAAAAATCTGACTTCGTTTTTCAAACAAAATTAAAGTGTTAAATGGACATCCCTGTGACACTCATCTTACTATTGATTTTGAATTCTAAAACAGCTTACCATGAATATATTGCCTGGATAAAGTAAGGTGGCACCTCCTTTTTTTTCTCAAACTCTCTTTGTTTTGCTTTCAAGGGTCTCTTCCTCCCTCAGGGTCCATGCATTTCCCAGTAGTCTCTTTGAAGTTAGGCTTTTTGGAATGGAGGAGTAGTTTGCCTTTTGGATGGGTAATTGTAGATGTGTAGATAGGTGATTGTAGATGTGGAGATGTAAAAGAAAAACAGACCACAGACTTGTTTTCAGACAGACAAAATTATGGAAAATAAAGATATGGAAATTGATTACCTTAAAAATATCCTAGTTCATGTGTCCCCTGGAAGGACTTTGGGTATTCTCAGAGATACCCAAATCCGAGGTTGAACACCACTGGCATAGAAGAGCTTTTGAAAAGACTGGGAAGCTTTAGTTATCCATAAATGTATTCTTTTTATTATTCTTCTAGAAGAGTCCCCAAAGCAGAAGCCCACAGATAGAACATAATCAATGTCCGCAGTTAATTTGAAAGACTGTCATATATAAGACTATATACTTCTTGAGTGCAGCATCAGAGGCTGTAACTAGAATCAACAAGTGGCAGACATCACCTCTAAGTAAAGAAGACCTTTTTCGTGATTAGACTTACTCCATGTGTGAAGCAGGCTGTCTCGCAGACTATGCAATTCCGCACTAGAAACACTCAAGTTGAAGCTAGACTCATCCAAGGGGGCTGAAGATAAGATTTTAATTTTGGACTAGAGAGAGCATCTAACATCCCTTCTAATTTTGAGTATTATAATTCTTTTTTTTTTTTTTTTTTGAGACAGAGCAAGACTGTCTCCAGGCTGGAGTGCAGGGGTGTGATCTTGGCTCACTGAAACCTCTGCCTCCCGGGTTCAAGCCACTCCCTTCCCTCAGCCTCCCAAGTAGTTGGGACTACAGGCGCACATCACCATACTTGGGTAATTTTTGTATTTTTAGTAGAGACCCCTCCTCGGCCTCCCAAAGTGCTAGGATTACAGGCATGAGCCACCATGCCCGGCCAAGATACTGTAATTCTTTTAAAATTACTTTTCTGGTTTAGCTTTATTCAAGAAATCTATTTCTGTCTGTGTGTTTATTTTCTGAGTGCAGTGGCACCATCTCAGCTCACTTCAGCCTCTGCCTCCTGGGTTCAAGGGATTCTTTGCCTCAGCTTCCCATGTAGCTGGGACTACAGGCCCGTGCCACCACACTTGGCTAATTTTTGTATTTATTAAAGAGACGAGGTTTTATCATGTTGGCCAGGCTGGTCTCACACTCCTGGCCTCAAGTGATCCACCCTCCTCAGCCTCCCAAAATTCTGGGATTACAGGTGTGAGCCACCATACCCAGCCTCCTGAAAAGCAAGTTTTATCATATACCATAAAATAATGATCACAGAAAGAAAATTTTAAAACTTTGCCCAAATTTCACCATATATGCTATTTGTATCAAAGGGGCCTAAGTGACAGTGTAGCAGAGAAAAGAGGATCTTTGGTTTCATAAAACCTGGTTTAGTATCCCAGCTCTGTCACTTTTACTAATTATGTGAGGTTAGCATAATTAGTTTATAAGTTTAAAGCATACTTAAATACAGGTCAAGTCTTAAAAGTTCCCTGAGCCTCAGTTTGCTTACCTTCAGAGTCTTCCTAAGATTATGAGAACTAGATGAGAAACTGTATGTGACTTCCCTTTGTAA